AAATATCAACCTGTCGGTTTATTTGCAAAGGCCTTTTCTTTCCCCAGTCAAATACGTGGGGATTTGAGTTATGTAAAAGTAAGCTCACAGTGCATCTTTGTCCTGCTTTTGCTCCATTTCTGCTCCTCAGGGGGGAAAAATTACCCAGGGCCGAAGCAGGAACTCTGAAATCTTTCCCCACCCATCTCATTTTAGTCACATGTAAGTTTGATTCTAGATTGCACTGGACATCTGGTCCAGGCTGGAATTTCTACCCGCTTTGCCTCCCACGGCCTTCACCGCAGGGTCTCCTCATGCGCCTTCCCCGATTCCAGCCCCACTGCCTCTACTCCAGCCCCACAGTGCTGCCACCCCATGTTTCTTGCAACCGTGCTGACCAGACTGGATGGGCTGCTATGCTAGCCTGCACCAACAGCGTGTGTGGAGGTCGATGCTCTCACCGGTACGGGGCAAGAGGGGGCTGCTCTGACTGTAAATGCTCTGCTTGACTCGATGACCTTGATGGAAGGGAAGAACTTGCTCAGCTTATGCTTTTGACGTTGGAAGGCTTTGCTTTTGCAGATGCCCAATGGGGGACTCTTCAAGACCTTTCTAGATCAGGGGCATTTTTGCCCTCTTCTTCCACTGCTAGCTTTGTGAGAACTTGTGCAACATAGCATTTACTTGTTACCCTGGTAAGGCTCTGCACAGCTTACATTAATAGTTTACATTTATATTTTTGACAAGAATTGGTGAAGACACAAAGAAATGTCAGGTTCCTTGATAGAATAACAGCAGCTGCTCCCGGAAACACATTCCTGCACTTTCCCAAGGAAATGATCAGGGCTATTGTACAATCTAAAAGCTCCTTAGAGAAAGCTATGCCTAGATTGGCTTAGGAAGCAATCCTTTGGTTTCCTCACATAGTTGAGGAGGCCATAGGATTCTTTTGTGTCCAAGCAGTGAGGTCCTCCAACCTTGGTGCTCCAACATGGAAGGTCGATCCCTTATCTTTGACCATTAGTGTGGCCATGGTCACATCTCTGTCCTTCAGAGTGTCCAACAAGTGAAGCTTGTTCTTGGTTGCCCCTTGAGCATCCAAGAATGTTACTGTTAGGAGTCAGGTAAGGTTCTTCACTATGTTCCTGATTTTCTTGCGCATCTGATCTTAAAGTCTTCCCTTTGGAAGATATTTGAAGACCCTCAGATGGCAGTTGGTGCCAGAAGGTGCTATAGTTTAAAATATTGATTGGAACAAAATATGAATGGTGGCATGGCCTCACATCCTGAAAAATGGCAGCTGTTCTTTCACTGGGAAGCCTAACTATCTGTGAGTTCTGAGCTACACACACCCGATCTTTAAAAAGACATGCTTTATCGCATGTGCATGTATTTATTTGTGTGGATAATTGGGCCTGCCTCCCTGCCCCCCAGCTCGGGAAGGTCTATCATGGTGACATTACAATGTAGTGTTCAAGCGAAACAGATCTCCCAGAGCACGCAAGCAATGGCATGATTGTTACTTACCCGATATAATTAGAACATCCATTCCACAGAGGGAAAACATTTAAAAGATAAAGAGTGTATTTAAAAATGAATCTTCCCAATGCAATTTTTTCATAATTATAGTTTTAACAGCTTATGGTGATGGTGGAAGCGGCTACTTAAGAAAAATTAGGAGCCTCATTTGGGGGAAGGCGATCCCTCAAGAGACCTCAGAGTGTCGTTTTTCAAGAGCTGGAACGGGGAGCCTGCTCTGAACAGAGCACCTGCTTGACACATTGGAAGGCAACTGAGCTTGTTATGACCAGCGTCAGATATTTTAATTAAAAATGCCGCATGTACCATTAAATATGGGTGCCTTGTTTCTTTCACATGTCGTGGAATTATTTTCTAAGATGCAACTAAAAGAACAAATTGCGGCCGGGCACAGCAGGATGGCAGTGTGTGCCGGGGGAGCTCCGTCCCACTATGGAGACCGAAGCGGCTGGTTTCCTAAATCCACACAAGGTGTATCTGATCATCAAATGCTCTTATTCTGGCACAACACCCCTATAATTTTCACAGTTTCCTTGAGCTGCTAAGTATGATGAGGGGAGTACCTGCGGGATAAATTGCTGTTGCCTCATTTAAATTATAAGGAAGCCCTATTGTTTTACAAATAACCTTCATGAGAAAAAATAAAGACTTGTGGCACCGTTTTCAACAATGCTTTCATGGGGTCCCTCTGAGCCAACATGTGCATGCAATCCACCCAGTAAGCGAATCACAGCTGTGCGCCTCGGTAGACACTCTCAGTGGAGACAAGACTTTGTTAATTTAAACAATTGTAGGCTGCAGGAGTTCAAAAAAAAAATCAGCTGACTTTAACTGTCACTAGCCCAAGCACCTTTATCCCCAGGCGAGCGGCAGCAGCTGGATTTCATTTCTTGCTGCCAGACTGTCCGACATCTTTGCTGAGCATCCCAGGAACTGAGCGCCTTCACTTTAAGGATTTTATTCAAGGTGACAGCTCCTCACACTTTAGCGTTCAGATCACCTCAAGTAGCTGAGATCTCAGTGAAAATGAGAGCACTTCCGCGGCAAACTCCAAATTTAGATTGACTGAGTTATCCTTAGGCCTCTAGGACCCAACCTCCATGACAGAACAGGCCTGCTAGGAACTTTAAAATTACAGTAGAGTTTGTAATGATGTCTGGGGAGAAATCTTCTGCAGAAACCACGGAGAATACTATAAGTGATAGGAAAAGATGTCAGGTTTCGTTAGGGCTGGAGACAGCGTTAGAATATACGTGGCATAATATGGCACCGGTATCTTTGTCAGTATCTCTGTTTTCTGTCACCGCACACAATTCCAGGCCTGTCTGTAGCCCTGACAATGTCTTTTCAGATCAGGTTATTGCCAGCCCAAAGACTCGCTCCGCACACCGCCCGATAGCCCTCTTTGTCTGTAGCTGCCCTTTTGTCATTAGCGTACTTGATGTCTATTTAAAATCTGATGGTGAATGCGGTATCTGTTTTCCTGTCAAGAGATCATTGGCAATATTAATACCTCATGTCCTTGCCTCATTTTCTAAGCGCTGACACCTAGCTGCAGTCTCCGGGATTCATCAAAGAGCGCTTTCTCACCGGCATCTCCACAAACAGGCTCAGAGCCAACCCCTGAGAAATATGGCAGCCCTCACCCAGCACTTTTATCAGCGCTGTCTGCCGCAGGAGCCCGGGAAACCTTGTTATGAAAACAGCGCGTGCTAATTGACGATGCACTTCATGAGCTTTAAGCATGGGGACTCAAAATGGAGGCACCCCCCCCACCGGCTTATGAAAAGGGCAGCGATACCAGCAGTGATTCCAGAGCTGAGTTTTCTAGGGTGCTGGATTCTCAGAAATGACCTGGGGGTGTTCCAATTGGCCTGTTTCTGGTCTACATCAGCTTGACATCCATCCAGCTGTAACACCCTATCCGGTGTTTCTGTGGATCAGCACAGATCTGCATGAAAATCCATCATTAGCTACATTGTTGCAGTCCACCATGGTGACCTGCAATCCTCCAGAGTTGAGAGGTTACAGCCATCCTATGAAGGGCAGGAGAAGCACAGAGGTAATCTTCACCTCTCCATTTCTCCTGTCCTGTAAAAGACTTGGCTGGCTAATTTTCACCAGCCAAGTCTTTTATCCCAGAGTATGAGGAGGGGAGGCTGAATTGCCACCAGGATAAAACACTAGAGACATTCACGAAGAAACTGGGCAGCCATCTGAGTGGGAGGGTGTCACGTGGTGTCCTGCAACAGCAGGAGGTTGGACCTGATGGCCTTCATGACCCCTTCCAACTCTACCATTCTGTGATTGTACATGCTGGCAGAGCGTGTCTCCTCTCATCCTAACCCACCAGGATGCCCACACAATGCCATCCCTGAAGAACATTCTTGCAACCTCCAAACTGCGGCTGGTCTGGTTCTTTTTGTACCTGCTGCAAGAACAGGAGGACAGTTCCCCAACTTTGGTGCCTTGGCTTCGACCTCAGTGCGGGTGGCATGCAGTACAGAGAGCTCACGTGATCCCGTGTTGCTCAAATAATCACAAGATGCTTGTGTGAAGTTTCTGCATTCTGATGTGTGATTTCCTATTGAAAATTTAAGGGGAGAAATAGGAAAATGAATCTTGTATATCCATGTCAGCATCGGAAAACATGTTTGGAAGCCACATCTCACATTCCTACATGCAAACACACATTCGGGGATTTGGCTTCATGTCTTACATTGCTGCCCTGGAATCAGGCATTGCTAGCTTTTTCTTTCCAGCCATCGCAACGGGGAGTCTCACTGCCACATCTTGCAATACTGAATTCCATGCAATACTGGCATGTAATCCAATGATGGATTTCCTTTGCCCTGCTCTGAACCAAGGTGGACTTAAGAGCAGACCTGATCACTTTATTCTTGCTTCACTGAAAGCTTTATTTCAGCTCAGTAGCCCTCACTGGAAGAGTCTTTCTCCCTAGTCTTTTTCCTATGTGGGCAGGAGAAAATAAATCCCTCCTTCCTGCCACATCCGCTGGAGATGCCTGCTGCCTGAAAGCCAGCAACAGAAAGTAGGTGCAACAGAGGAATTGTGCATACTTGCAGAAAAACGAGTCTGGGTGTGTAGGCCATTTTCACTCATACGAACGGCACAGTTTGGGAGCGCTCAGGTTCTCTTCTCCATCCATGGCTATGTCTTGCTAAACCCCAGAGGGTTGGGATGGGGCTGGTGGGCACAGTCTAGCTTTCCCACCACACGCTGGGAAAAGATCCATGAGAAGGAAGAGTCCAGCCTGGCCCAGAGCCTTACTTTTCTGCAAATAATGGGAATGGATGTAGTATGGGTATCTGTAGCCATGCTGGCTGCATCGCAGGGCGTAATGGAAGCAAGCCGTATGGAACGGCATTCCCGCCTTGCTGCCTCCTGCTCCCCCTCCTGCGGCCTGCTTTCCTTCCACCCCTCGTGCTAAACACTAACCTTTGTGTGCCCCCGTGCTGCAGGTGTTCTCGGGAAATGCCGCTACGTCTATTACGGGAAGCACTCAGAAGGCAACCGATTCATCCGCGACGACCAGCTCTGAGCCCAGCCGTGCGTCGGCAGGGCCCTCCACGCCGCACATGCGCAGAAGCACACCAACGGATGCAACGGCTTGAACGGGAAAAGAAAAAGCGTGCGGCGCCAGAGTCCTCCAGTGCTTTCCGCTGACTTTGCCAGACCTGTCAAAACCATCCTTCTGCGTTAGCCTGAGCAGTCACATAGCAACTGACAGGATTCCCTCTAAGCAGGTCCCGTCCACCAGTGTGACGGACAGCTGCAGCAAAGCACCAGGCCTGACAGGAGGAACACCGTGATGGATTGCCTGGCCCTCTGCAGCTCGCGGAAGAACAGAGGTCACACCTGAGGCCTCACTGAGCATGCTCAGCTGCTCTTAGCCAAGCGACACTTCTTTTATCTTCGGCTTGCCTGTCAAGTGAGAAAGCTGCATGTTTATCCAAAAAGGAAGGCACAGGGCTGCATGTGAGAGTTTCACAACGCATCACCTCCCGGTCTCTTCTTATTTTCCTCAGGAATTAAGTGCCTAATGTGGACACACACACAGTCAGTGCATCACATGGTGTGGTTTTGGGGTGCTGGTGGTGTTTCGCTCTAGGGCGGGATAACAAAAACTGCCTGGACTGTGATTTAATGTTTAGCGCTGGGGAGGGGATTACCTGATAAAATTTAGGCGCATTGGTACCTGTTATTGACTTATCACCCAGGCCTGAATTCTGTTGTTTTTGCAGGGATTAGGGTTAGAAGTAAAAATGCAAGAAATGCAAAGAACGTAAGAACAGAAGGGATGATGCTGATGCACAAGACTAATTTTGGGAAGGGACATAAAACACTCAAATTGCTCTTTTGGAAATCAAGGCCACATAGATTTGATAGTATGCCCTAAAGCCAGCCTTCCCATCACTGTGTCCCCCAAATAGGCTGGACTAGTTTCTTAGATTTGTAGCCTAACACATCAGGTGGATACCTGGTTGAAGAAGGATCCCGTAAGCAGCATCAGTTCCTTTTATATTACTGACTACCAATCTGCATCCAAATGAAGTGCATGCGGCTTCTTGCCCATTGCCAGGTAAAGCTGGCCTCTTTTGGAAGCCTCCTGAGAAAAGACCGCATGGACTGCATGTTTGGAGGGAGTTGGCTGTACTCTTAAATATGAAACCCGTTTGTGCTCGTGTTGGTGAAAGCCATTGCCTCCTAAGGGCCTTCTGTGCAAACTGAGGTGGGGGTCTCTGGCCTGATGTAGCCATTATTAGGCTAGGGGGGGTGCCATTCAAAGCATGAGCCCCAGACCTCCTACTCTTGATGACCCTGCAAAATTTAGTAATGTGAAACATGACATTATGCCCTAACCTTGTGCTCTGAATTTCCCCACTCAACTCTGTTTGTTGCTGCTTGCAGAGAAGCATGAAGAGCTTTGCATGGATGCTACCAGAGGGCAGGGCAGGGCAGGGGAGGAGCCTGGTATTTTCCGTGGCAGCTTTGCATCTACTGTAAGATAGTGATATGACCTCAGTTTTCTTCCTAGGTTGAGGCTGTGCATGCGATGTGGAAAAGCAGACAATGCGTTCTTTTATCTGTACCTTACTGTCTCTCTCTATATTTTTAAAGTTTGCATATACCTGAGCCAGTGCCGTCAATGCCGCTTCCCAGAGTGGCCTTCTGTGGTGCAATCCCCTCCAGAAGTGAGGAAGGGAGAGGCAATATTAAGTGGGTCCAGTAACTCGATTCCGATTTGCAGGGCTGGGAACTGGAGTGTGGGCGTGCGCCTGCAGCACTAACGCTTCCAAGCAAGCTTTGGGGGAAAGTTTAGTCACTCCCTTGAAAGAACCACAAGCCGAGCTGACTCACATTTGACTGGCTCTTGTGAAGCATAAATGCATCCTTTGACCATGGCAGTGGAGTTCGAAGTAGGGTGTGTGGAATAACCTTGTGTCACATTCAGCCTGGCTGTATCTCTCTCCTTCAGTCCAGTTAGATCTCTCTCCTTGTCTATATCAAGGGCTTTTTAACCCTGCCTCAAACAATCAAAATGTGCTTGCAAACTGACCACTGACTTTTGCATTTTTCCTTGCTTCCTTTCCCGATTGATTTTTTTTAAATGTCAAAACCATATGCATCATTCTCAAGAATGATTTTCCCCCTTTGGTGGCAAAAGTATTTTGGGAATGAATTGTGGACATTGCTGGTATTAATCTAATTTGTTCTGAGGTTTGTTTCTTGCAATGTCACATGTAGCAACTTTAATTAAAATCAGCATAATTATCCAGCTCTTCAACTAGACAGTTTGGCATATGTATTTTTTGCTCTAACAATTTAAAAATTTCATATCTATCAACAGTGCCGCGCAATAAAACAACACACAAAGATTGTGTTATTGTTGCTCACTTGTAGTAATAACTGAATAACTTTCAGGGTGCAGCAAGCATGCCATTTCAGGTGTTTCCCCCACATGCCGCCCCGAGGCTCATCCGATGGGGTGGCATATAAGTTGCCTGCCTGCCTGCCTGCCTGCCTGCCTGCCTAAATAAATAAATAAATAAATAAATAAATAAATCCTTTTATCTTCCTGAAATACTAAAATTAAAGTTGGATTTAACTCCTTAAGAACCTGGACTTCTAGAAAGCTATTGCTATGTTCTCTTACCCCTCTGTGTTTGGAAAGTTTTAAACTTGCTTTTTAAAGTGCAAAACATCCTCTGGGAAGAGAAATGTCACTCTCTGAAACAGAAGGACGGGTGTGAGGACTTGGCGGCTACCTCTGTTCCCCACAGCCGGGATCCATCTCCCCTTCCACAGCCTCAGGGACTGACACTGAGGGAGTAAAGCACGGTGGGTACCACGAGCAACGCAATATGCACAACCGACTTAGCAGCTCAAAGCACCGTACCATTCCTAATGCTATCAAGAGCGCAGCAAAGTGTATTGTTTTGAAAAGTGGTATCATAGGGTCGTTTATAAATATTGCTGAGTTATTGCAACTTGCTTCGGTGGACAGTATGGTCAGATCAGCAGATAATTAGACTGGAAAGTAAATACTGGGAGGAATTCTACAAATTCCCTTATATTTCTGTAAATGAAACTGTCTGGACTGGCATTGCACTGAGGCAATAGCACTTTCTATTGCCGAAATTGTGCAGGTGGCAAGCAGTGTTTCAGACACTGGCCTTCAAGTCCCCATTGAATTATACATTTCTGTCAGGGAATTAGCATTTGGTGACTTCTGAATATGTTTCTTTCCAGTTTATCCACAATTTTCCCTTGGAGAAATGCTCTCCATTTCCTGTTGGTTCCCTTTTGCGTAGTTCGTGTGCTCCTGTGATGAGGGGCGAGGGGAACATTTCTGACACTTATATGGCTTGTGAAAGAGTGGCAGTGTTTATAGCTTTGCTTCTCTGTGAAACTGTCACTTCCTCTGTTCTTGTAGATTCAGCAGGCCCAAAGAGAATTATTCTTAGATTGTGTTCCCATGACCTCTGCATAACCAATTATACCAAGTCTCTCAGGAACAGCCAGTGGAATAATTCTAGCAGGCAGTTTGTCTGATTCAAAACCATGCTTGGGGACTAAGTCATTAATAACATGAAATTGGTTAAATATAAATAATTAGCTCTATGGACTTACAAAAGTCAGATCTATATTCCACCCCATATTCCAAATGGTGCATTCAAATACTTTTTTTAAAGGGAAAGTTAAAAAGGACCAAGGTGGAGAGAATCCAGGCAAGCAAGTCTAGATCTGGAGAGCTTGCCAATGGGGGCCAAAGATGGCGCCAGGAAAACTGCTTAAGATGGAATGCTGTGGATGGAATGAGCTGTTGCAAAGCTCTTCCCAGGGCAAATCCGCCTCCTGTGAGCCCCTGTGCCAAGTGGTCAGATCCAAGTGGACTCCCATGGCCCTCAAAGGGCCAGTTAGGATGTTACTCTCTCAGACTGCAAGCTCCCAGTAATAGCTGGGAGCTGTTTGGTAGATGGGAAGAATCAGACATCCCCTCCACAGATGGAGTCTTCCTTGTCCCAAAGCAAGGACAAGCTCTCTAGCTGATCGGGTAGGAAGGGGTCCATGAGACAGTGTTTGCAGCGTTCCTCTGGGTGGAGGACCCAGGCCTGGACACACCTGCAGCAGAATTGGGCCATAGAATCATGAGGCTCAGGGATGGGGCTGCCCTGCTTTATGGGGTAGTGTGAATGTGATTTTCTAAATGTTCCTTGTGTGTGCTTGTTATACTCCATACACCCTAAAGTATAAGGCTGGAAAACCAGAATCAAAATGCTAACAGAAGCCCCTGCAGCCAATGCAAATAAAAACTGTCAATAGCAACCTTTATTAACAAAGAACAGATGTGATACTTACATGAGCAGGCAACAGAGGAATTTACTAATTCTTTTGAACGTATTTATGTGCCTGACTAATTAGACTTAAATAAATAACTAATACCTTGGCAATGCAAAGATAAAAAAAGGAGAAATTAACCATACAAAAATTAATCTAATTATTACTTTAAAGATAAAGTTCCTGGATTAGGTGGTTTGATTTTAGATTTTTATAAAACAAAGAGTGAGTACAAATACTAAATGGTTTGTTTGATGATATAATTAATTCATTGAAAGTTATCATTGATAACCAAAAAAGATATTTTGGTTTCTACGCCTTGGAAAAAGATGGAGTAGTTGCAATCTTATTGATTAATACTTCTTTTGAATGTGAATTATTAAATTCTATGGAATCATGGCAATTTGGGTTTGAATGTATGAAGGTGTGAGAGGAATTCCACCAAGAGACTTTGATTGCAAATGGTTTGTTTAAGCAGATGACTAGTATTTGCACTAGCAAAACTGAGGCAGTCGACTATTATTGATGGATACTAAATAACTTTAACAATTCTTCTGCAGTGCTGATTCTCCATGTCTGACTCCTCAGGTACATTTAGCTCATACTGAATTTGAGAATGAGAGAGAGAGAGAGAGAGAGAGAGAGAGAGAGAGAGAGAGAGAGAGAGATCCTGCTCTGCGCCCCACTTGCTATTCTCAGGTGCTCCGTTCTACCTGGAGCAGAGCTGGAATGCTTCAGGGAAGGAGCCAGTCTCTTCTGACCTACAACCCTCATGACTGGTCCGCCTGGGGCAGGAGGAGAAGAGGGAAAGAAAAAGCCTGCAAACAGCACTGGAAAGACCAGTTTTCATCAGTGCTGGTGTCCCCGCACCCAGCTCCATTTGTCCTCCATCCTCTAACACAGCTGTGCTTTCAATACCTCAGGGAAATAGCAGAGATGCAAGGACTCAGCAACACCTCCCTTCACAGTGTGGGCACCTGTAGTCTGCCTGTCTTCACAGCAGAGAGACGCAAGCTGTTTGCCACCACAAAACAAATCCCGCCCAAATTGTGAGGACTTCAAGGAGCAGCTGCAGACGCTAAACCTGAGGCAACTCTTTGCAGAGCTAGCACTTCCCGCTACGTTAGCACTGGAGCTCCCAGTGAAAGTGTAAGGAGCTGGCTCTCCCTGGACGCAGAGACACATGGGCAACGAGCACCTGGGGGCTGAGCTGCAGGGGCACGAAGCGCTTGTGCACAGCACCAGATGGCGGAGAGGGTTGCACGGTCTAGACATCAAGAGATGTGTGTGACCCAGTCGGGCCTTGCGTGCACACGTGCACATCTGCTTCCACATCAGGGGACTTTCCTCCTGCTCCCCTGGGAACGAATGGAGCCATGTGTTTCTTGGGGGACTGGAAAATCCCCCTGAAGAGGCAAAATCAATGGGTGATGTTCACCTCCATAAATGGGTCATTTATTTGAGAGTGGCTGTAAGTTCCCATCCTCGAATATCTTTCCTGCCCCAAAGGGATTGATGGAGCTATTGGTCCAAGGGAACTCCTTTCCAGCTTTAGCTGTTCACCCAACCTATTGATGGCTGCTTTTGCCACTGCGTTATACTGTTGCTTCTCAGACCATGAGGTCTTTCCTTCATTTAGGGTGCAGCCTGCAGGTTAGATGCACAGAGGCTTCCAAATGGCCAGGCTGAGGTGTGGCAGGAACACACCTGCCCCTGCCACAGCTCTGCTCTTGCACTTTCTCTGGAGGTCCCCAGCCTCCTCCCTTCCCCCTCCCTTTCCCATTCCCCAGGCTGATCTCTGCTCCCAGAGGGGCAGCACTGTGGCCCCCCGGATGCTTGCTGCAACAGGCAGCAGCCTTTGCAGCCCCAGCTCCAGGGGCACAGGGCTTCTGTACTTAGCCTCTGACAAACCCGATCGTACCCAGACTGTGTTGCTTTATTGTTCCCTGCTTCTTGAACAACAGAGAAAAATTAGCAGTTCAACAAATTTGCAGAAAATTCATCAGTTTCTGTTGAACTTGGTCAAACTAATGCCATGCACCCAAATATGCATTTCTGTTTGTCACAGATTGGAATTAATAATATAATTATTGACCTTGTTTCTGCTCCGTGGCAAGGCGAATAAGGTGAGTGTAATGGGTAGTTTCCGGTTGAAATCTGGTGTTGTGCAAGTGACGCCCCTCATACTGCTCCCCCCCCACCGCACTTCCCAGTCTGCTCCCGACGGATCTGCAGACATTCGCAATCGCTTCGGGTTCGACTAAAGGGCGAACAATGTTGAGTGCGCTCTTGTGCCATAAAGCTTAATACAGAAAATATTAAGTATTAAACGATGGACTATTCATATTGTTATCATTTTACATGGTTTCTAAATATGCTGCCCAGAGAGTATCAGCTGTTGAGTGATGAAGAAAGAGAAGGAAGGAAGGAAGGAAGGAAGGAAGGAAGGAAGGAAGGAAGGAAGGAAGGAAGGAAGGACGGACGGAAGGTAGGTAAGTAACTTTGCATAATTATTAACGTAGAAAAGTGTGGCAAAAGTTGCATGTTTATCTAAACAAAAAAGATGGTGCATTTGCATTTTTAATGACCCAGTATTTAACGATCCTGCAGTATGACTTGCCTTTTCATCTTCATCTTCATCATCATCATTACTATTATTGTTTCCAAGTGTTGGGGCTTGGTCGTATATGTGTGATGTGCGAGTACATGGAGAGATACCATTTGTGCTTGTGCCTGTATTCATCCATTTCTCTCCCAAACAGTCTGTCCAATGGCTCCTCTTCCTGCTGTCATCAAGGCATGCGAGAGATCAGAAAATGACCCCGTGCCCATAAGAAATAAGTGGTTTGCTGGTGTGATGTAATGTGCATCAAGAATGACAAACTCAAGGATTTTCTTCCGTTCCCTGAGAAGATTGCTCTTGCCATTTCTCATCTCCTGCCTCCAGGCTGCTCAGCCTGATTCATGAGATGAGGGAGGCAGAACCCTTGAAGCTTTGGTGATCCGGTTGTCCTTATCCTATTGCCCAGAGCTGCACATGCTAGTGAGGGATCATAAATTTATCCTAGCCTCCTTTAATAACCTAGCTGCTTTATTTAGCCCTCTGACCCGCCGCTGCAGTGAATTCTGGGGCCGCCGCATGTGGAGCAGTATTTCTTTCAGTTGTGGTGTGCTTTTGCCAGCCAGGACTTTTCTTGCATGCATTCAATGGCAAAGGAGTGCAAGAATGGGGAACCCATACTCTGAAGCAATGTGGAAGATTGCGACCTCCGGATCTTCTCCTGGGTATGTGGATGCTATCAGCCCTGGGGGAATAGTGAGGAAGACCATTTCAAGGCCCGTCTATACTGCCACGGGACTTTCAGCCTTCTTTTCAGCCAATAGGATTGCATACCTTTCTGGAATATTCCACCATGCAAGTGAAATGTGCACAGCAAGCTCCATGGTATGAACATGGAAGTTTGGCAGGTAACTCCTTGCCTCAACGTACCACTGAGTTGCACCAAGACGGGCTTTATGGCTTCATAGCACGACACATCCATAGGCCATGTCAATTCTCTCTGCACTGTCTCTGTAGACCGAATAATCTCGTCCACTCATCACGGCTGTGGGACATATACCTGGCTCACTAGAGATACCTAGCAGGGCTCATGCACCTCTTTGGACAAGGTCAGATGTGCTACGGGATGGTCCAAGCTGCCCCTGGTCTCTCCTGCTTGTGCTCTCATGGGCTACAACGTTCACCAGAAAGTGATGGGATTGGTATGGACATCAAGAAAGGGTGATTCCAGGATCCACCCTGGATTACATCTGGGGCAGATTCGGCACCCTCAGGAGTAGTCAGAGTCTTGTATAGCCACAAGCTGGCTCCATCGGCTGCAGATCCAAGTAGCCCAACCCCTTCTCTCCGAGCGTGTAATGCAGCACCAATGCCAGAACATGGACCTCAGACGGAACAGGGATTGCATTTAGCCTGGAAGTGCCTGTATGTCCATGTATATTTAGGAGTGGGTGAGAAGAGGAAACAAACAGGGATATAACTCTAATGTAATGATGATAATGAGGGGGAAGAGATATGAATCGCCAAAGCCTTTTTCATGAAAATTCCCATTCTCTCGTATCTGAAAATATTTTATTTTCTCCAAGGTTTTCTCTGCTAAATGGAAGCACATTTAGGAAAAGGAAAAATGTTTATCACTCTAGTAGTGTTGGAGATGATGTCCAAAAGCAAATTTAAATAGAGAAAAAGAAACACACATGCACATTCAAAGCAATGGCGGCCTTTTGGAGCTCTGGGGAGCATCCGCCCTCCCATCGGCATGTCTCTGGGTTAATGAGTTTCTTTTCCCCCATTGGCACGGTGTCCCTAGACCATTGGTGTTCCTCACCTTTTATAAAGCCAAGGCTTTCACTTGCACCAAAGCAGGTCAGGAAAGAGCAAGTCTCTTTCACCTACTGCAGCAAAAAGGCGGGTCCAGGTGGTCACCCAGGTAGAGAAGCTGGACCTAATCACACCCAGGCTGTTCAGAGCTGCAGTTCTGACAGGAAGAGATACTCAAGTGAGTCTCCAGGTCCTCGGGATGACAGACATCCACTCCAGGTCACTGTAGCTCAGGTGACCCCCTGCAGTAAACAAATGTGGCTCGGTTGGAGGTACCTTGGGGCAGCTGACTGATTGAACAGTAATAAGGACTATCTCTTGCATGCAGATATTAGTTCCGGAATGCAAAGGAGTTGTGTTTGGATCAAAAACTTGACAAATTACTGTCTATGCCTCAGAGGAATTAAACCAAAAAGAATAACCATCTAACCTTCCACGAACTCAGATGTTTGGTGGCTGGTCCAATGTTATGGCTGCTTCATGAGATCAATTAGACAAGGGTGGGGGTGGAAATGTTGTTTTAAGTTTCTGAACTATCGCTGTTGCCTGTGTCCATTTGCCTCCCCACCCCCTCTTTTACCAGTGTGACATGACAAGGATTCAATGTGACACACACCAAACTTTGAATGTCCCGCAGCCAGCTCCAGCGGCTCGGATGCTGTCATCTTGAGCCGCATCAGGCACACTGGCTCAATGGCTGCGTCCATGACACATGTCAGAAACTTTTAAACGTCTGCTCTTTTTTTCATCAGGATGCTTCTGCATCCTAGCGAGGGAAGAACTGACATTTTCTGTTTGGGTGGAAGTTGTTGCGGTCCCCTCTCCCGGCCTCCTCTAACTGTCAGCCCAGGTTTCCCCTAAACATATCAAAATGCAGTCAAATAAACCTTGTCATTTAGAAATGTATGCAG